TTCAGGAAATCATTCGCTTCTAAAGAAGGGAAAAGCATATTTAGGATAGAAAAGTACTTTTGTTAATAGCTATGGTTAGAAATTAATAGACCGCATGCTCCGCGAATGATTGAGCAGATGCATCGGCCAAGTTGGGAGCTTCCATGAAGGAATAAGGTAAGGGGCACTTTGACCCACCTTAAGAGACCTTTCAGTTGTAGTGAAGCAAGAGTTGGACAGTGTTTTCTGTCTCATTTATTTCAATTGTGTCACATTGGTGGGCATAAACTTCTGTTGTTTAAGGCGATGTCCATGGGAAACTAACTTGAAGTACTTCCAAGAGACCAAAGTGAATGCTATCAAGACCATCAAACACTGGATTGACACAATAAGTCAAGAACTCGCTAAAACTATGTCAAGACAACTTCAAATAACAGCATTATTGCCAGTATATGTGCAATAAAACAGATTGGGACTACCATCAAGCATCTTTGTCAAGAGAGGTAGGGATGTTTCAAGAATGAGGAGAATTTTTATTCGCGCATGATATTTCTTGTATACACTGACGCACACATATATGAGAGTGAATTCTGCCCATGTTTGACTGACCTCTCAGGTTCCCTGATTATTCTTGTCTCTCTCTTCTATTGTAACCGTTCAGACATTCCTATCCAAAACCATGTACTGTCAGTGTCAAGATTGGATTTCTTATCCAATCTCTCTTGATGCAGTGTCAAGATTGGGACACCCCATCCAAAGTGTCCCAATACAAGATGGGAGAAAAAAAACAACTTCAACCATTGGAATTATGAAATATAATGCAAGTTTACTTCAATTGTTTCTGTACACGTCATGGTTAACAGTAACAGAGGAATAAAGGGAGAAACCAAGGGTCTAAAAGGTTTTGGGATGAAAAGCTAAACAAAATGTTGTTATCATTCTTGAACTACACTTGTTCAAGAACAGAGCACCGTATGGAGAATGCAACATCAGCAAAGCTCAAATAACCATTCTGGACATCATACAACTCAGTTCATTATGGGTATATGCATATCAATACAGAAACTCAAAACCACTATATAGGCAGCAAACATGAGATAATCTAATAACATGCCTTATATATTTATCCTTGCAAACCAACCTTGGACTCTAATAGGGATATCTCAGAGCGAAGCCGGTCTCCCTCCCTTTCTAATAACTTTATTCTTCTTGCTTCATTGGTTAGCCTCTCTGTGAGCAACCTTATTTCATTATGCTGACGATTACTGACTTCTTTTTGTTCACACAAATTGCTCTCCAGTTCCTTTATACAGTTTTCCTTCTCAGCAAGTGATGATTCAAGCTTCTGTCCTTGTAAAGCAAGAAAGAAACACAGACCATCATGAGTATCTGCATGAAAATTTAAATAAAAACAGGAATTGTGTTCCACAACCTGAACAAGAATTCCACTGACTGTTCCTGCCCCTGCTTCAACATTCTTGTGCTTTGCCAACTCATCAACATCTTTTAATTGATCTCTTTCCGCAGTAACAGCAGAAAGCTGCAATTAAGAACTTATAATTTGTAATCTAAATGAACAAAGAGAAAACAACAAGATGAATATTTGAAGTTAAACAATACTAAAAGGAAAAAGATGGGTTCTCAGCAATGCCCTGTAGCAGACTAAACAAACATTGTTGGATGAAGGAGCAGGAAATAAGTGCACAACGTATTCTGATTTCTGACGGCAAGTGGCCAGTTCTCCTCAACAACTTCTCTCCAACATCTATAGCACCCCAAAATTTAAAAGCAGCTCTCAGAAAGTTTTAACTTCTCTCGGAAGGTATTAAAAGAGCAGTTCACACAATGTTAATCTGGAATTTTAGGAACCTAGCCAGCAGTAAACTAAAAATTGACGCTAGGCGTGGGAAATAGCAAAGAAGACAACATAGCCACAGTTAAGAATTGACATAGCAGACCATAACTGGTAATATGATCCAGCATGATGAATAGATGTCAGATGAGCAGTCACTATCAGAATCTTGAAACTAGACAAGGACCAATCACAGACTGAACTATCAAAATGCTAATTGCCTGATCAAAAAGTAAAAAGAAAAAGACATTTCTCATATACTTAAAGAGAGAAAAGACGATAATACAACTCAAATTCAATTCTTTCCCAAAAAAGAGAAAAACAAATAAACAGGTTTGATTAATTTCCAATAAAAAAAATGAAGTAAATGAACTTCAGACAATTTTTAATTACCTGCATGCCAATATTTGATAAGAACATTTATCTCAATATGATGAAGGGAAAGGTGAGGCCTTTACCTGGATCATGACTGGGAAGGGCGATTACTCACCAACTGGAATGAGAAACCTATTTCTGACTCTTTATACCACTTAGGCAAATGAAGTCCCTTCTTTATCTTACTAGTTTAGTTTGTGTAAAAAGTTCAGCCACGGTTATGAGAAAGACAATACAACTAAATATTTCATACTTGTAATTCTAAATTTCATACTTGTAATGCTAAATATTTCATAGTTGAGCACAAGCCTTACCTATACTCTGAGATTAAACAACTACTTGTCTAATTTACCAAGAACATTTTCTAAAATTCCTCGCTCTTTATCCGCCAGCTGATATTTTCAATTATGGGTAGACAATGGCTGCTTATACACACTTGCACACTTCTGAAAAACTTCAACGAGCAACAGTAGAGACACTATTGGTTCAGAAGGTTTGGAAGCCAAAAGTCTGTGTTGGTGCAACTTAATCCCAATACCCTTGATAGTTGGCCTTCATGCACCGCCCAAGGGGACAAGTTTGGTCAAATCAACCAATTTATCTGATTAAAGAAGTCAGATTTGGAAAACTGAAAATTTATCCAACAAAAGCTTGACACTTCACCACACTAAGCAACCATATGTTGAGCTGCAAGGCTCCGCAACATTCAGAAGACAACCAGCACAAAATGAGAATTGGTTCACATAGCTGGTGACACACCAACCACTGTCCTATGCAATGGAAGAAACATCACTTTCCATCACATCACTGACCCCTTTTGTGTATGGTAACCAACAACTTATCAGTTAGAACAATGAAATCTATGTCTATGTCAATGAAGGTGCCTTGTGAGTTTTTAAAGTTCCCTGAGAACAAGCAAGATGATGGTACGCCAGTGAGTATTGGAGTCGGTTTTTAGGGTGACGATGATTCATCTTGTAAAGTATTCATCGTCGACATAGGTGGTTGCTTGACAGTTCCACGATGTGGTCATTGCTGATGGCGGTGGTTGGGCAAATAAAGTGATGAGGTTCACTATTGACAGTGTTTGTTCTTCACAGTGTTATTTAAGGCGTAAAGCGAACCGAAGCGACCAAGGCTCCTAACGCCTAGGCGAGAAGCGAAGCGACACGCTTTACCGAAGCAAAGCGAACAGTTAAAAAAAATATATATATTAGTTTAATTACTTCTAAACAATCTAAGTTCTAATTTTATATATACTAAATATTTAAATGCAAGTAAAACCATAAACATTTAAATTAAAACAAACACTAATAATATCTCAAATCTTAATAACAGTCATAACTTAAACATTTAAATTCAAACAAATACTAACAATTGTATACATTTTCATATTGACAGGGTAGGACAACAAAAGAAGCAGAATTAGTAACAAAAAAAAAAGAAGCAGAATGAGGATAAAAAAAAATAAAAGCAACACAGGACAGCAAAACCGAAGCAGCAACAGAATCAAAAAAAAAAAATAGAAGCAGAATGAGCTAAAAAAAAAAACAGAAGCACAATGATCATGACAGGAGCAGAATCAATTGTAAACAATTTCATATGTAATTATATACTGAATAAAAAAAAGCAGAACAGAGGCACATTTCACATGTACTAAAATAATTAAACATGGTATAAGCATAGACCACTTTTTGGTACCATTTGTATATATATAAGAAAAGAGAAAAGTATAACCAAGACATATCAGAGACACTTCTTTGTAGAAGAATCTATTATTTACCCCCATTCCTGATACTCCTGCTTCCTTTTTTTATCATAATTGTCATGCAGTCGCCTGACTCTCACATCCCACAAATATTCTAAATGAATTCAGCAACACAAAAAAAAAAAATGAATGTGTTTTGTTCGAAACATTGTTTATTAGAAAAAAAAAAATAGACCAGCAACAGTCTAAAAAAAAAGTCATTAGTAATTAAAAAATAAAAGAGCCTACTAACCAGTAATCAGAAAAAAAAAAAAAAAAAAAAAAAAGTGAAACAGAATCGCCTTTTATAATAAAACGTTTCGCTTTTTCGCTTTTTCTCGCTTTGCCTGGGGTCCTTCAGGCGAGATAAGCTCGCCTCGCCTCGCTTCTCGCCTAGGCGAGCTTTTCAAAACACTGGTTCTTCAGTTATGGAGGTTTAGCATTCTATATGAGAAAGAAGTGGAGAGAGAGAGAGCGACAGAAGTATTCATGGTGGACGATGACCAACACCAATTGTCGATAATTTGGTCTGAAAAGATGCAGAGGAGAATAAAAATTGTTCTAGAATAAAATATCATACATTCTGGAAATGCAACCCCACTTGATAAGTTGGAAAAGTGGTTTGCATAAGGATAATTATTTTTCAAAGGGGAGGCAACTAGCACAACCCTGATGTAGGGGACATTAACATTCCCAATATTTAGTTAATTGATTTCCACATTGACTCTGTAACCTCAAACCCAACACTTTGCCGCCCTCACATCCACACCTGGACTCACAATGCAAATTGTCAATTTAGGTTGGACTGCCATGTCATTTGAAAGCATTCTATCCACTTTGGTCTTCCTTAAATACACGTGTTACAGTAGTAGGAACCTAACTTATCCGTTGTAATTCCAATATATTTACATTCACTTACTTAATATCATGTAAAATCTACAAAATGCATTATATTTCTTAATAAATTCCCTGAAATTCCTTCTGAGGTGTAATGTTCCACCACCCAGCAAATAAGATGCTTATATCCATTTTGTATCTCTGTACTTTTCAGAGAATCCCAGAAGAATTATGAAGTGTCATCCATAATATCCCAAAAAGCAGCTCAACCAGATTATTTGAGAGGACGTTACCACAAACCTCCTCATCTTGGATCATTTCATAAAATATAGCACAGGCATAATCAAACTTTGATAAATGAACCGAGAAGCTGCAGCTAAACAGATTATCGTAAGCAGATAACGCTATTTCATGCACCCACGCAACTAAAAAAATTACAGAGAAAGTAGGGTGCATGTTCATTACACGAGACCCCTGGTGATAACAATTATCACAAACCATGAAAAAAGCAAAAAGCCCCTACCCACATTTTTCACCTAATCAATCCCTGTCGTGTCATTTTGGTAAAGCCTTCCGTACAAAATTGGAAGGATAGAGAAAAAGAACTTCCACGCAGACAAAAGGTAAACAAGGTATCGTACAGCATGAAGAACAAAAGCATATCAAAAATCGAGCAAACAACAAAAAGCTATGCAGCACTTACCATCAATTCAATCCTCTTAACCTCTGATTTTGACAATTCTGCCTTCTCTTTTGCAAATACAGCTTCAGACTCGGCATTTTGTTTACCTAGTTCTGCCGCTTCCAGAGCCACCTCCATTTGTTTCAAGTGTGCATTGGCCTCACCCATCTTCATCATATTATGAAGTACTTCTCTGCATTGCAAAAGCTCAACAATATAGAAAACTTACAAAACCCACAGAAATCAATCTTCCTGATACAAATCAAAAGGCATGATAAAACAAGTGACAACTGCTTCTCCTTTTTTCTACAATGCCCGACTTAAAAAACAATTTGTAGGCAAAAAAAAAAAAATACTAGGCTCAGGCTTCGCTAAATCAATCTGAATGAAAACACAAAGCTATACTCTATCTCAACTACAGAGCATCATTCCCTGTTTGTATCCAGCTCAAAGTATTAGCCAAGCTATTCACCCGGGTTCATTGCCTCAGAGTTATTTAATTCAAGTTACAATTTTTTGCAGCCACCTGTTCAACAGTAATTTGTTAGAAGTACTCTAACTTAACATTTCGAATCAAACAACTGCGGGTCTTAAGTCAAAAGCTTGGTGACTTTTCAGACCAGCCACTTGATCTCTTAGACAAGCAACAAATCTTGTCACATGCCTGCTGTTTGTCAAATGAAAGCCAATGAAATTTCAATTTAACCTCTCCAACTATCCCAAGAAGTTACTCAATTAACAAGATTACCTACACTCAAGAGCCTAGTATGCCAAACTAAGGTCCATTGAGTTTAGCTCGTGAAATAAAACGGACCACAACTATGTTTGAGTTTGGGTCATTTAAATCATGAACGAACTCTTTGGCGAGCCAATCCTGAGCAGCTTACCAGCCACTCAACTCATTTCACAGCCTAAGAAGTGAACCGCAGACATGTAAGCCAGAAGTATGTAGGAAAGTTAGATACATACTTCTGTAAAGCTGCAAACTTAAGGGGTATATCCTCCGCACTTGACACACCAGGAATGTCTTTCATCATCAACTTCCAAGCAGACAATTCATCCTCCAGCTTCTTCACACTCAACTGGATCTCTGAAAATGCTAGTAGTTCTGACTCTGCCCTTTCTTTGCGGCCCTTTTCCTCCAATAATTTCTCCTTCAATAACTCAACATTTTCACGAGTAGTTTTTAATTTTCTCGCTTCACGAACTTCAGACTCCTGACATTGAGCTAATGTGATTCAATTGACACATCAAACAATAAAGTATAAAAAATAGGAGAAAACTAGTAGCAGCATATCCTCAGGACTGCTTACCCCGATGCATTATTGCCACTTCATAAGGTGTGACCACTGACTACAACCCACAACTTAAATCAGATCAATAACACCACACATTACACTTTATTAACTTTGCCATTTTGAGAAACGAATCTTTTAGCTAATGAATTTAATGCTACAGAACTTGACTCTCAGGTTGATTTTTTTGGTTATATGGGCAGACACCTGTACTGAGATAAATCTTTAAACATTGAAATTGTTCATTAAGAATTCAACACTTTTGGGGCACCATTGAATCTTAAGCATTATGTATGTCAGACACTGAAGGACATCAATCTGCCGTGAGGGTTGAGCCAAGTCACACATCCAATGAGCTGCTCATGTTCAAAAGAATCAAAACTCAATTTCTGTGAGCACTAAGATGAGAAGTCAATAAGCTGCTCCCACCATGGCAGAGTCCAGGGAGGAGAGGGGGGAGGGTTAATTCTATGCAGCTTTATCCCCATATGCGGAGGTTGTTCCCGTGACTTGACGCCCAAGTCACAATGGAGCAAATTCACCATTGTGCAAGGGCCATCCTCAACAATAAAAAAATAGAGCCCCTTTCAGTTGCCAAAGTCTACAGGTATAAGAGCATATCCAAACAATGCTACTTCAGAACACAATATTAGTCTGCAAGCTTTATCGTCAAGATATTCAAGATAGATGCAACGAAAACTATTGGCAGCATGAGCAAGTTCTCCTCCAGCTTCACAGTCCAAAGCCTATAAGCTAGGACTGGAACAGCATAAAGGCAATAAGAAAAAGAACAAACACAAAAGCAATGACAAGAGATAACTAGTGTTTTTGATTAAAGGGTTGAAAGGAGACAGGGAAAGCTAAAGAATAAGTGCTTATATTACCAGAGTTTTGCATGGTTCCTTCAATTCACTGTTGTTGTAGACATCGCAAAATGGCAAAGGCATGTCTCACATAGTTGAGATAATGCTTGAAAGTTTGATTCAAATAATCAGAAAAGGTGTGGCGCAGCATTATTTGCATAAAAATAACCACTTTAGACAGAGAAAATAACCAGTTTCAACCAAATAATGATCCAATGGTGATCTCTTTCCCAATTGAAGTCACAAGTCTATGGCTCCACAAGAACCAAAAATTGTTTGTTGCCTTCAACTTTCACATTGTTATTCAACGTGAGACTAGTAAATTGAAGCAAATATAGAAGTCCAATGATTGCAGACATAGTAAGTCTATTTACAATCATACACCGAAGATGTTACAATTTTTTTTCTTTAACTTGGAGGGATTAAGATAGTCATCCTTGATAAAATAAACAATCCAAATTGAATTTGCCATAAGTGAGTGGGCGATAAGTGTGAAAAATTAATCATTGCATCTAAACATGACAATTATGAACTTCATGAAAAATCTGAAATCGTTTTGTTACAATTCAAAAAAGTCGGATGGTCTAGTTTCATCCCTAATGCTGCTTTTACCAATACCCCACTATACACAAGCATAATAAAAAGAACAAAACTTACATAGTGCCTAAGCTCTTCTTGCAAATGCTTCACCAAAATATTAGTTTCCGTCGAAGGAACGTCTTGAGATGTAAGACTTGATAATTTTTTCTCTATTTCACTTTTCTGGTGCAAGCACTGTAAAGTAAGACAATCAAATCATTTTAGCAGAATTTTATGCCTTTAGAGAGTCATCAGACAAGCTGACACCCAAAAGAATAAATGAAATAAAAAAACTATATATGATCAAAAAACAAACAGGTGTACATATTAAAAAATGGAGATACAGACGTGTGCTTTATTATCTATGCGAAGTGACTTTGAAAGACTAATGCAGCCAATCATCAAAGTCAAGAAAAACACATTTATACATGCAATCATAAACAACCTCCAATATCCACTTGAATGAAAAAGTTGTGCTTCCATCATATGAGACACACATTAAGATGCTGACTAGTGTGTACAGAATAAAATAACTCCAAAAGTCTAGTAACCTCATTAAGCCGGTTCCTGAGCTCTTCCAACTGCTCCTTCAGTAACACTGATTCTTTCTCAGCATTATTGGCTTTTAATTCCATTCTTTCAAGCTGGAAACAGAAAATGTAAAAAACCATTTACAAACTTTTATGACACACAACTACTTTGTGATGCTATAAACAATGAACTACTCACATCTGCAGCTATCCTAGAAACCGAAAATTTTGATTCTCTTTTCAGTTGTGCAAGCTCATTCTGAAGACGACTTTTTTCCCTTTCTGTGCTCTCAGAAAGATGAGTCAGTTTTCCCTCTAAAACACTTGCTTGTTCCTCCACTGAAGCAGCTGAAGACTCGGCTTTCTTGCGAAGATTCATCTCATTTTGGAGCTTTAACTACAAATCAAAGGGCATACAACAAAACATGCATGATAAAATCAAACAATAACAGGAAAAGCAGAAAAAAATAAGAAAACATTATCAAAACAAATCTCTAGCACAATGAAATTAGGCAATTAACTGCATCTCCAGCTACCCTAAGCAGTTTGTTAACAAAGTTATATTTAATTTTCTTTTCCATAACGCTTAACAGGATCGAAATATACGCTTCCACCCCTCTGGAGGGTTGCTGGAGATACCACATAAGCTAACCATTGATAGAAGTATTAAATCATAGCATACCTTCCCATTAGAAGAAGATAGCCTCAGATAATGGCGAAAAAGGGATGCTCACTATAAAGATAGATTGGCACATAGAGAGAGATAGAGATGGAGTGTGTGTGTGTGTGTGTGTGT